TGATTATATGTAGTAATTATTGTGGTCATGGTTGTGGCTATGGTCATGGCAGGGGACATGCTAATTACCATTATAATGGTGTGTGTGGTGGTACTAGTTATAATCGTAATACTCACTAAAAGAAGAAAAATAATGAAAGGCAAAAAAGAGATAAGAGCGGTCCTTCAAAACCTATTAAAAATCAATGTTATTAATGTGGTATGAAGGGACATTGGACGCGTACCTGTTATAAGCCTAAGCATCTAGCAAAGCTTTATCAAGCCTCCATCAAAAGAAATTCAAATATTGTGGAATCAAATTTCATTTTTCAAAATGATGATGTTGAGGCAAATTTTGTATACAAAAATGATGATATCAATGAGTTAGATGATATTGATGGCCTTGATGCTATGGCACACTTGGGGGTGGCTGATTTTTTTAAAAATCAAGATTAGATAAGTTTGATTGAAAATAACTAGAATAATTTGAATTATGTTTTTAGATTGTGTTTCATTTATGTTTCTTGTTTTCTTGTAATGTAGATTATGTTTCATTTAGCTTTCTTGTTTTCTTGTAATAAAAGCATTATTGCTTTGAATAAATTTCATTTTATTAAGTATTTATTTTAATACATTCCCTTTCTTTTGTTGAAGAATATGAATGTTTCCTTATCTTTCATTGGACACAAGAATGGAGATATATGTCTCATGGATAATGCTACAACGCACACCATACTTAAAGATAAAAAAAATATTTTACTTGTTTAACAATAAGAGATGGAAGCATCAACACCATAATGGGTAATAAAAATTAATCAATGGCTCTAGAAGAGAAATTATAATATTACCGAAAGGAACAGAAATTATTATAGATGATGCATTATATTTATATAAGTCTCAAAGAAATTTATTAAAATTTAAAGATACCTGCCAAAATGGGTATCATATTGAGACTATAAATGAGAAAGATATTGAATCTCTACATATTACAAATTTTAGATCTGGAAAGAAATGTGTTCTAGTGAAATTATCTAAGTTATCTTTTGGTTTATACTACATAACTATTAGTACAGTTGAAATAAATATAATAGTCAATAACAAGTTTACTAATCAAGATACATTCATCATTTGGCATAACTGGTTAGGCCATCTCGAGTCAACTATGATGCGAAGAATCATTAAAAATTTACATGAGCATCCATTAAAGAACCAGAAGTTTCTTCAATTTAAATATTTTTCATGTGCTACTTGTTCTTAAGAAAAATTAATTAAAAGACCTTCAATTGTGAATGTGGGAATTGAATCTCCTACTTTTATTGAATGTATCCAGGGGAAAATATATAGACCTATCTGTCCACCATATGGATGATTCAGATATTTTATAGTTTTAATATATGCATATATAAGATGGTCACATGTGTGTTTATTATCAATACGTAATTTAGTATTTGCTAGATTACTTGCCCAAATAATTTGATTGAGAGCACAGTTTCTAGATTATGTAATTAAGAAAATTCATCTTAATAATGTGAGTGAATTTTTATCACAAATTTTTAATGAGTATTGCATATCAACTGGAATAACAATTGAAAAATTTATTGTTCATGTCCACACTCAAAATGGTTTAGCAAAATCATATATTAAATGCCTCTAATTGATAGCTGGACTAATACTCTTAAGGACAAAACTTCCTGTTTTTGCATAGGGACATGCAATTTTACATGCAGGAGCACTTGTGCACATTAGGTCAATAAGTTATCATAAATTTTTTTTCGTTACAATTGGCTTTTGGTCAGAAGCTAAACATTTCCCATCTTAAAATTTTTGGAACTGCAGTTTTTTTTTCCTTTTACTCCACTACAACACATAAAGATGAGACCTCAAAGAAGGTTGAGAATATATGTTAGTTTTAAATCTCCTTCTATAATCAAGTATCTAGAACCAGTAACTGGAGATTTATTCACAGCACGTTTTGATGATTACCATTTTGATAAAATAATTTTTCCAACATTAGGGGGAGAAAATAAACAGCTAGACAAAGAAATTACATGGAATGAATTATCATTATCTCATCTAGTCTTCGTACAAAGCAATGTGAACTTGAAGTTAAAAGAATAATTCATTTATAAAATATTACAAATCAATTGCCAGATGCATTTATTGACCTTAAAAGAATTACCAAATCTCAAAATTCAGCTGAAAATGTTCCTATTAAAATTGATGTCCCAGTAGGACAATTAAAAAGTACAAATGAATTTAAGCCACATCTGAAATGTGGTAGACCAATTGGTTCCAAAGATAAACTTTCTAAAAAAAAGAAAAGAACACAAAATAAAAATGGCATATTACAGGAGGCTGGTACTCTAAAAGAGTACCAAAACATAACTAATCAAAATACCCCAAAATACCCCATAAGAGATCTAGGTACCTAAAGATAATGAAGAGATCTCAATAAGTTATGTCACCATTCAGAAAAAGATAGAACCAAAAGAATATAGTCAACAACAACATATTTTCATTTAATATTGTTGGGGAAATGATGAATTAAAATGAGGATCTAGAATTGAAATCAGTTGAAGAATAATTGAAATCAGTTGAAGAATGTAGATATAGAAATAATTGGCCAAAATGTAAAGATGTAATTCAAGAAAAATTAAATTTACTTTCAAAACGTGAAGTTTTTGGATCTGTAGTCTGGATACCTAATTGTGTAAAGCCAATTAGATATAAATAGGTATTTGTGCAAAAATGAAATGAAAAAAATGAATTCGTTAGATATAAAGCATGACTAGTAGCGTAAGAATTTTCACAAAAACCTGGAATTGATTATGAAGAAACATATTTTCCTGTGGTGGATGCAATCACTTTAAGATATCCAATTAGTCCAGCAGTATATAGAATTAAAACTTGATGTGTACCTAATGGATGTTGTTACAACCTATCTATACGACTCTTTAGATATAAAAATTTATATGAAAATCCCTGAAGGATTCAAATTGCCAGAAGCATGTAAAGATTCATGAGAAAAATATGCAATTCATTTACATAAATCTTTGTATGGATTGAAACAATTTAAAAGGATATAGTATAATTGTCTTAATAAATATTTGTTGAATGAAGGTTATAAACACAATCCAATCTCTTCATGTGTTTTTATAAAGAGAAATGAGTCAGAATTTGTTATAATTACTGTCTATGTGGATGATTTAGATATAATTAGAACTCCTGAAGAGCTCCAGAAGGCAGTTGATTGTTTAAAGAAATAATTTGAAATGAAAAATCTAGGAAGGATAAAATTTTGCCTCAATTTACAAATCGAGCACTTAGCAAATGAAATTTTTCTTTATCAATTAACTTACATTAAAAAGATATTGAAAAGATTTTACATGGATAAAGCACATCCACTAACTATTTTGATGATTGTAAGATCTCTTAATGAGAAAAAAAGATTCTTTTTGCCCTCAAGAAAAAAAATGAAGAACTTCTCACTAATGTATCTGGTTAATTTAATAAGACCTGATATTGCATTTATTGTAAATTTATTAGCAAGATTTAGTTCTTCCCCAATGAAAAGGCATTGGAATGGAGTTAAACACTTATTTCGGTATCTCCATGGGACAATTGATATGGAATTATTTTATTCTAATGAATTTGGATCATAACTTATTAGTTATGCAGATGTAGGATTTCGATCAGATCTACATAAAGGTAGATCACAAACTGAATATTTGTTTACTTGTGGAGATACAGCAATATCTTGGCTTTCAACAAAACAAACTTTAGTTATTGCCTCATCAAATCATGCAAAAATAATTGCAATTTACGAAACAAGTAGAGAATGTATTTGGCTAAGTTCAGTGATCCATCATATCCAAAAGATGTGCAGTTTATTATTGAAAAAAAAAATTCCAACAATATTATTTAAGGACAACACAGTGTGCATTGCTCAATTGAAAGGAGAATATATCAAAGGAGATAGAACAAAACATATTTCTTCAAAAGAAAAATTCACTTATAACCTTTTGAAAAGCTTTGATATAGATGTTAGCAAATTCACTCATGTGACAATCTTGCAAATTTGTTTACTAAGACACTACAACTTAACATTTGAGAAGTTGGTGTATGGAATTGAAACGCGCAGACTCAAAGATATAAAGTGATGATGTCATCAAAGGGAATGAAATGATGTTGTTACCAAGGGAAGACTACAAGAAGTAAATATTACATTGTACTCTTTTTTTCCTTTCTAAGGTTTTTTCCCATTGGGTTTTCTAAAAAGGTTTTTAATGAGACAATATTAGTGAATGTTTAAAAATATTGTATACTGTTTTCCCCTCACTAGGTTTTTTTTATCCCACTAGGTTTTTCCTAATAAAGTTTTAATGAGACACAATGTTTGTTATGGATATCTAAGGGGGAATATTATAAATATTATGTTATGAATGTTCACAACTCATAGCCTTTAGAATTCCTTTACCCTTAATCTTCTCATGAAAAGCATGAAAGGAGTTTCTTAGTTTTAACAGCTTATAACCTTCAAAGGTTATATAATACACTATTATATGCCTCATTATATGTTTATAACATTAGGATAGGACTTGAATGGCTGGAGGCTTATAAATAAAAGTCATGTCCAAAACATACGTACAGTAGTGAATGAGAATTCTCCTTCATTATTTTCTTTCCATTTCTTGTATTAACTTGTCTTTTTCTACTCTCCATATTAACTAGATTTTACATCACTGATGAAATTTTATTTTAAATAATTTGTGGCGCATAATATACGTGGGCTGCCCTTGGAAGATACGGATAGAACTAACCCTGGTTTTTTTTTTTTTTTTGACACAGACTGTGCATGCACAAGGATGAAATGAATAAAGTATGTGATAGTGGATCTAAATTTTAAATTAAAAACAGATATTTCATCCCTGAGTATTGCCTCTATTTGCAAATATTTAATTGAGGGAACAACACAATTGTTTGTGGAGATCGAGTAGCTATAAAAAGGCAGAGAAGCAGAGAAACACGAACACATTTGCAGCTATAGCGCAGAGGAAGGGCAGATCGAATAACAGTGTTGGTTCGTTCTTACAATGGGTGAAGCTCCTGCGGTGCTGTATGTGAACAGCAATAATAACGGCTTCTCCAAATTTGGCCATGAAACTGACCAGAACTTCACCAACCATCACGATTCTTCAACGTCCTGGTTTGAGGAAGTCATCGATCACCATCTCAAATGGTCTTTCGCTCTCAACAGGTTCTTCGTCCCCCTCATTTCTTACTGTTTCGCTGTCCCTGAGTCCTTATGTTTTCCTTCTCTCTCGCAATTCTTAACAGCGTCCTTCATAGAGGAATTAGTCAGTACCAGGATATTGCTCTCTTAGACACCAAGCATTTTGGCAAGGTTTGCCCTCTCACACACTCTCTTCTCTTCATCCACATCACACCTAAACAAGCTTAGTCTCTCACACACATGCACGTCCACTTGTGGAGGACATTGGAACTGAAGTGTTTTGGTGATGAACGCAGGCGCTAGTGATTGATGGGAAGATGCAGAGTGCTGAATCAGATGAGTTCATTTATCACGAATGCTTGATTCATCCGGCTCTCTTGTGTCATCCCAAGTAAGCTATTGTATTCTCAATTCACTGTCCTTAATTTTCATACTTGAGTAAAGCCTTTTAAATAACATGAAGAGGCCTTGGAATTCATGGTGTGTATAAAAATGGCGCAGCCCAAAATCTGTATTTATAATGGGAGGAGGCGAAGGTTCTGCTGCTAGAGAAGCCCTCAAGCACAAGTCATTAGAGAGGGTGCTCATGTGTGACATCGACCAGGTTCTCTCTCTCTCTCTCTCTCTCTATATATATATATATATATATATATATTATTTTCATCCTCACGCTACATTCATTCTCAGCCGTCCTTTAACATTATTGACTATCCATTTATCCTTAATCCATATTTCATGACAAAAAAAATTGCAGGAGGTGGTAGATTTCTGTCGCCAATACTTGACTGTGAATAAGGAGGCTTTCTCTAATAAGAAGCTTGACCTTATAATCAATGATGCCAAGTAAATCTCTTTAATTTCTTCCACTTTTTTTTTTTTTTAAGTTCGTGTGTCTGCTGTTGGTTTTCAAATTTTTTCCTTCTTTCATTGTAAATATTATAATTAATTACATCTCCACCCGATACATCGCACGGAACCAAACCCACAAATTGAAGCATGAATTGTAACAAATATCTAAGCCGCTTATGTATATAAGAAAATATAAAGATTGAAGAATGGCGTCACTTGTAGTTGTACGATTTATGATAAATTTTATTGTCTATATTGATGAATTCTAATTATCTTCGTATCTTGTTTGAATTTCAAAACCAAATAGTTTCTTGCCAGAGTTTTCCAAACTAGTTAACATGTAATTTAATAGTTTTAAACTTTTGACAGATATGACCACGCGGAGATGGGTGTGCTTTGTTTTTTATGTTTTTTTCGAATTTCAAGATGGGTGAACTTGAAGTTTGCCATAACACGCGATAATTTTATTATAAAAAAATTAATCATTTCATTTTTAAAGTTTTGACTTTATTATAATTTGATCTTTAAATTTTAATTTATTATAATTCAGTCATTATAGTTTTAATTTAATTATAACTCAATTTTTAAATTTGATTTCTTACAAATCTGTTATTGTAGTGTCTACCATTTAAATATTAATCCCTATATTTTTTAAAAATAAAATTATAAAGATTATAAATATTTTAAATTTTTAATATTTACAAAGATTAAAAAGTTTAGTAATTTAAAATATTAGTCATAAATTTTTAACATAATTTTAATTTGTATAATTTTATTTTTTAAGATATATAAACTAATATTTAAATGATTAAAAATATAAGGATTGAGTTACAAAACATCAGAGCTTAAGGACTAAGTTACCATCAAGTCAAAATTTTAGAGACTAAGTAACAACAAACCAATTTTTATGAATTGATTAATTTTTCTTATTGAGTCAAAATTACAAGGATCAAATAATTATTTTTTTCTTTATTATATATATGGATCAATATTCTAAATTTAATATTTCAAGAGTATCAAGTATAAGATCTATGACATATTTTACTGTCTACAAATTATAAGTAATATAACTTAATTTTTAAATTTCATGCAGTATATAAATGCCACGGAAATTATATAACCCTTTGTGTAAATGAAGTTTTTAAAAAAGGGAAAACTTATATAGTAGATGTATATACTTAATGTATGTATTTTTTATTAAATTAGGATATGTATATCTTTTATAAATTATTTATTTCATAACAAACTCTTGTTAATAATATTATTAACATATTAAAATTATTTATTTTAATTTAATTAAATAAAAATATATTAAATGTATAAGTCGTACTCTAAATATTTAAAAAAAAAAAAACAACGCACATTTTACTAAACCTTAGCAGACCGCTAGATAATTTAAGTCAAAAAAAATTTAAAAATAAATAAATGCTTGCTATTAATACCTTTTTGTTCCTAATTTTGTTGACCACTTGAAAGTGGAGCCGCAAGAGGGGTCACGTCTGGTCGGTGATGATTTTCCCCGTCTAAATGCTGTATTTATTCTTTAGCCAGTGTATTCTTTTTGTCGGTCCTGAAGAAAAGTTAGTAAAGCAGATGAGAGTATCTAAAAGTGATATGTTCGTGGGTGCTGTAATTTTTAATGACCCACCAGGCAGGTGGTAATTTTAGGAGTTAAGGCATATCCTAATTACTTTCTTCTGCATGGTTGGTTCATGGTCTTTTATCCCCCACCCCCCAAAAAAAACAAAAAAAAAAAAACAAAAGTGATATTTCTTTTTTCTTAATTTTGTGGGATGAAGGGGAGAATTGGAGCAGAGGAAGGAGAAGTATGATGTAATAGTTGGGGACTTGGCAGACCCAGTGGAAGGAGGGCCTTGCTATCAACTATATACCAAATCCTTCTACCTCAACATCCTCAAACCCAAGCTCAATCCCAATGGCATTTTCGTCACCCAGGTCAATCTTTTTTTCCCTGCCCTACTCCTCTCATCTTGTCAAATCCTATTGCTATTCCATCACTAATATTGCTGAACACTTGTGCAGGCTGGACCTGCAGGCATCTTCACCCACAAGGAGGTCTTCACTTCCATATACAACACAATCAAACAGGTCTTTAAATGTAAGAAGACTCTAATCCAATCCTTCTTTCTTTATACTGGTTTAACCAACTCAACTCAAAGACATGCTCTTCTTTTGCTTGTTTTTATGCAGATGTGACGCCGTTCGCAACTCATATACCATCTTTTGCTGATACTTGGGGATGGGTTATGGTATGCAAATATAGAGCTTTGCTCCATCCCAAAGGGGGTTTGTTATTCATTAGATAGATGTGGATTGCACGTTTGTGTTTACTTGAATCTGTGTCATCTGAATCCAGGCTTCCGACCAACCCTTTTTGATCGGGGCTGTCGAAATGGACAAAAGAATCCAAGAAAGAATAGATGGCGAGTTGCTCTATCTCAATGGCTCTTGGTTCCACTCCTCTGCCACCATGAACAAGACTGTTTCGCAATCGTGAGTTCGTTTTCCTACAATTCACTGTTTCTTCAGTATCCTCAGCGTCAATAATATATGGTGTTATTTCAGGTTGCGAAACGAAACCCACGTGTACACGGAAGAAGATGCTAGGTTCGTGCACGGACATGGTGTGGCTTATCGACTCTGAGGTTTGGGAAATTGCTGTACAGATGAATGGAGTTGGAGCTTAAAACAAGCGTGACAACTTAAACCCTAAGAAACCAATCAACAACTTACAATTGTTTTGTCAATGTGGTTTTAGGAATTTGTGTTAGCTTCACTAGAGTGCTCTTTGAATTCAAAACTGATGAACACAACCTTCATCTGATATATGAACGAATAAATTCATTTCAAGACGCTCATCCCTTCACATTCTACTTCTTTCTAGGTTTTAATACCTAATTCGTCAGGATTGAAGATTGAATTTACCTGCTCTTAAAAGTATCAATTCGTATGGGCATAAATGCTAAAAGTGTTTTCTGTCGCAAATTGTGGGGATTATATTATATAACTCTCACATTTTCCTCAAAGGAAAACTAAAGACCTGTAAAAGACCTCTAAATTGCATGGGGAGAGGTAAAAGAAAAATAAAGTTGCGAGTGAAAATAAATGAAGCAAATTCTATACACGGTATCACTAAATTATAATCACGTCAGTCTACTTCAGAGGAGGAGCTTTATCAGCTTCATACATTAGAGGATTGAAATTACTCTCAGGGGTGTCATAATTATCATTCCACCTTCGCCAATAAGATGCATTTAGGATGAGTGGGGTAGAACGCCTAGCTTGGCCTGATATCTAGTCGTATCTGCCTCCTACCTAAAAGGACTAGATATAGAGATATACTCCGAATTCCTATACATCAGAAAGTTGTTAACAGCATCATGACCCTGCAATTTGATCTAAATACCACTCCTACGTTATCTACTAAACTCCACTAAACCATCCTACAACAAGCCTACCTAAGGCGGCCATGAGGGCCAGGGTTATCACTTGAACAAGAACAAGAGGCGCGTGCTTACAGAACAATGAGCATGAGCAAGAGTTATCACTTGAGTGGGGCTGTATCTGACCCAACATGGCTGAGTTGAACTGCCTGAGGAAGAAGATTGTATCTAATATCAAGCTGCTCAAATATTTTCTTTAGTTCCATCACTAGCTCCGTTCTCCTCCTGTTCTTCTCCGCGAAGTCTTGAAAATTCATCGTGTGGTTAACATACAGAGCTATTTTGATCTTATTCACATTTTCTATCTCCTTCACTATTACATTGTGATTAGGATGCCAGTGATGCGGATTGCCCTCCAAGTACCTGAGTAAACAAAGACCCCAGAAATAAATAGGATGAAAAGCGAAAACAAACAAAGACACTAAAGATACACTAAAGAGCGCAGCAGCATTGTTCAATTTCCGTCCAAATCCCAATCCTCTCCAATACCATTTTCTTTGTCAAGCATGGTGAACAGAGAAAATCGTACTTCCATCCTTTCAATAACAAGGAAAGAAAGGCACAAAGTCCCGCTTTCTGTTCATAAAGTCCCAGTCAAACATTTGCACATCCTTCAACTTAGGCACCGTTGGGTAACCTCCATTTAACATCAAGAAAGTACTATTAACACTTTTTAAATGTAAAAACCTGTTTGGAAAAAATTGAGAGATGAATGCATATTCTGAAAGTGGATTTGAAATATAGTTGAAAGCGGATTTTGAGAATGTAATCATGAGTAACTTTTGAAACTCACATTTTACACCTGGGTGTTGCATAATAAATAAGACTTAACACATGAAACAATTTTTTTCATTTCACTTTGCTACTTCCCTTACACTCTTGCAGCTGCAATTTTTTTGCTCGCTTCCATTCTTCTTTCTTGCTCAAATAATATTAATTTTTATTTTCTTTTTAAACTTTTTTAGGTGAAACCATTTGTTTTTAAAATTTATTTGTTTAAAATATAATTATGAATTTACAGTTCCCTAGGTATTTTTTTTCAACATATCAAACTTTATATATTTTTTTATTATTATTTAAGATATCAAACTTTATGTTATTAAAAAAATGTATCACATTTTCTAAACAATTCTAATATATTACATTTATATAACAAAAATTACAAATTCTCATAAATTAATGTCTTTTTTGGTAATTGTACATTCAAAAATACATTTCACTATATATTATTCAAAAAACTTTTAGTTTACCAAGTTGATTTATGAAAAAATGTATCCAAACACAAATTTCATTATAATAATTGATTTCACTAAACTGACTTTTATCAAATAAATTTTCACAAATGAACTTTTGATAAACTAAAAACTAAACACACTTAATCAAATGTAGTATCAAATGTTCAGTACACTTGAATATGATATTATGTTGTTGTGTCCAATAACAAAATCTGATAAGAAAAACATAATTATTGATTCCTATAGTTTTATCGTGTTTTACTTTTAGTCCCTATAATTTACTTTTAGTATTTTCAATCCTTACGATCCCTAGTATTTAACATTGTTTGAGACTTGAGGAACAAATATCACCCCATCTTACTAAAACTACAAAAACTGAAAATATTGAAAAAAAATAAATATATAAGAATTAAATGCAAAACTCAATGAAATTATAAGGATCAATGATTGTGTCTTTCCCATATGATATTATGCTTCTCTAGTCAGGAATTTTAGAGGAAATCACTAGTATGGCAAGGGTGCTGTCTAAAGCATTTCAAGGACATTCAGATAGTCTTTCTCAGCTCAGGCCGTGTCAATGAAAAGAAAAAATTATACTTGGAAACCAGAACCTTGAAAGGAAAATACCAGCGATGCAAGTGAGCTAGACAATCTACGACAATTACATTGAATCGCGTATCCAAATTCGAGTTTCCATAGAAAGTAGAACATAAAAAATCAATATATGCATCCATGCAGTGAGAGTTAGCCGACCTTTTTATTTTTTCCTTCAGTGCCCCAATCCTCTCCAATGGTGTCATAAAGTCAATTGAAAACTCTATATTGTCACCCATATCCGGGCTTCTGTAATAATTGCTAATGGGTTTTGTGGCCAGAACTGAGTTTGGATAGAACACCTTCTCGTTATCAAGTTTCAAGAATACCGTTGTCAAGATGTTCATTTCTTCAACCAATAGCTGCGTCATCACCAGAAAGAATTAATAAGCAAATTCAAAAGAGAGGTGTAAAATTTGGCTAGAATGAATTACCTGGACCCCATCTACAACACATCGGTCACCAACATCAAATGGATGCATTACGAACACAAATATGAGAGCCTCAAATATATTTTTGCATGTGTTTCCAAACATGAAGGTCGCAACTACTAGCTGAGATGAAATGAACACTAGTACTTTTGTTGTTGCAATCTCCATCAGTAGAAGCCACACAATTACAATCAAAATAACCAGGATCCCTGTTACAAGCTTGTTCAATTGCTTTACAGCAGTCTTGGTGTCACTCAAGGCATGTGCCAATGCCTTGCGTTCTTGATAGACCTTAACCTGAATAATGCAAATATTAAGGAATGAAACTTTTACAAACCAAATGGAACTTAAATTCTTGATAAGCATGACAGAATTAAGTTTAGATGTGCATATTATTAGAGATAGAGAACTTTAAAAAGTCCCAAATCTAGAAATTAGAAGATAGATTAAGAATATATAAAGTTTAGAATATGTCTAACCAAATGGTTTAAGCTATTTTGATAAAGTAGACTACCTTTAAGCATAATTAATATAAAGAGTTTAATAAGGTATCAAAGCCATTGGATCGAGGGCCAAAAACAAAAAAAAGCAACAAAGAAACAAGAAAGAATAAAAGATGAAAAAACAAGAGATAAAAAAAAGAGAAGAGAGAAGAAGAAGAAGAAGTTGAATAGACATAACATTTTAAAACTAAAAAAGTATAAGGCTAGGCAAGGAGAAGAAAATGGGGAAAAAAAAGAAGAAGAAGCAGTAGGAGGATGCTAGAGATAGAGAACGCTAGAGATAGAGAATTTAAAGAAGTCTCACATCTAGAAAATAGAAAAATAGATTAAGAATATATAAAATTTAGGTTGTATCTAACCAAATAGGTTAAAGTAGACTGCCCTCAACCATAATTAATATAGAGTTTAACACATATAAAGCCCTTACCACCCATTTTGTCAAAGCCTTTCTTTCTATCCGTCCAGTCTCTGAACCTTCAAGTAGGGGAAAGACCAGATCTACTTCTTCCTTAATCATGAACCTCAAAAGGTCATCCTCATCAATGTACCTTATTATAATGAATAATTTTATAGGAGAATCAGAAGGAGAAACAGAATGAAGACATAATCATTTACGTATATAGAAAAAAGTGCAAATATTCTTACGAGCAACCAGGGGCAGAGACATTCTTGAAAATCTTATATGCAGCAGCAGTTGCTTCCATCTCATTTGTAATTTCTTTGTCGGTTTGTTCTAGTCCTCCATCATCAAAGCTCTCATCTATAACATTTGAGACTGTGGACAGTCTTGAATTTGTCACTGCATCAACCAAAATCTTCATTGTCCAAGCAGAAACTTTCTCCCGTTTCATCTTGTGAAACGTTGCCATATTAATAACCTCTTTCTTGGTGCCTTTTTTACCTTTTGTACTCCTGAAACTAACCTGACCAATACTCGGTGATCTACCAACCTTCTCAGCCTCCTCTATTAATGGAGGCCCAGATAGACTTTGCAAAACGTACTGATGGAAGATTGACTCTTGAATTCTATCAAAGAAAGATTTGACATGGAAATTTGAGGCTAATACCTTCAGCAGCGACGTCTTCGCTACCCATAAGAATGCCCCAATGAGAAGAGAAACAAGAGTCCATGTCACACCATTCAAAATTTGTGTGCCAAGTTCTGATCGCTGGACCCCGCGATGGATTAACAGAACCCAAGCGAGAAGAACCAATCCCAGCCAAATGAAGACTTGGACACTTTTCTTTAGTCCATGAACAAAATAGAGAACCTTTTTCCTCAGCAAAAAGTTCATTTCAATCAAGAAAATTGTAACGTGCATGAACCATTTGGTAACCCGCATGCCACAAAAGATAACCATCAGAAGTACACACCACTTCCAAAGCCCCAGGCCCCAAATCATTACGGTTTTCAATTTTTCGACAGTCAGGCTAGCCACCAAGAATCCAGTAATGCATGCAAACACAATACACTCAATCAAATCCTTAACCTTCACCGCCTTACGCTTCCCTTTACTCAGTTCAACTTTCTTGTAAACAATTTCATCCTCATCTTCCCCAGCTATCCCCGGAGACGCCATCAATGGCGTCTTAGGAGTGACGGAAGCAATGGACACTGTCCTGTTAACAGTAGTGGATTTGTTATTAGGTGATGCTTCATTGACCGATTGCCTATAGGGCGAACAAATGGCAAGCTGTTCTCGCAGAGTGGAACTGTCATTCTCTTCTAAAACTGCTGCATCAGCAGGATAAGGTTGTTCCCCAAATCTAGATTTAGGCTTAGAACACACTGACCTTGCTAGACACTTTCTGCGAATAAGGTTTCGGGTCGGAGCAGAAAGTTCTGGAGACTTGTTTGGGCTGGAATTAGACCTTATCTCAGGGGAAGCACGATTTAAAGCTGGCGACTTTGAGGACGCATATCCATTAGCGTACTCGGTGGACGTATTGTTAGATTCAGTCGCTTTGGAGCTTGGACCCTCTCCAGTGAGATTTGTGTTCTGCTGACCCGAAATAGTCACCACCACTTCTCCTTCGTTGGCTGTTTTCTTCTCCGTCATGCTTACTTCGCGGCCTTTCAAAGGTCGATGCTTAGCATCCATCAAGAATCCTATGCATATTGAACTTGTGAGAATGAAACGTCGCAGAAATGAACTTACCCAGAAAAGGCAAACCTTTCAGGCTCTCAGCAAGTACCACTTCCCCCCAACTACCTTAGACATCTTCAGATAACAGAAGAATACAAGAAATTTTATAAATTACATTCCCGAATTTAATACTTTTACCTGGAAGAACTTGTGGAGAATCTGGAGCATCGGGAGTGTCACCACATAGTCACGAACAGATGGTTATGACGAGTGACCAGGGTGAATGTTCGGAAGTAGGATGTAAAAGCTTCTTTGGCAAATGACAAACGAAGATGGTCGCAAACCTTTTACTAGGAAAATGAGAGATGAGTCAGCTCAGCACAATGGTTTTTAAAAGCGCACAAGACCGTTTTGACTTCGATTGCAGAGTGAACGGTCGATATTAAGCCGCGATAAACGTATTTAAGTCCATGATCCCGGCAGCGATGGATGCCAGAACTATGACACCGACCCGCCTAGCAATCCGTGCATCATGCAAAAATGAAAAATCTGTTGCTCCATTACAATCTTTGAAATCTATATCCATGGGATATCTATATGGCATTTCATTAACAATTATATTTTGCTAGTTAAAAAACTAGTAGTTTTTAAAAGGAAAATAAAAATACAATTACCTATTTAAAAAAAAAAATCTTTCGTGTACTAAATATTTTCGAATGGTTTTGTGTTTGATTTATACTAAAAAAATGTTTAGTTTGATATAAAGCCATATAATTTTTTGAAGAAAATATAAAATATGACCATCTTTAAAATAATTCATACAAGTTGACAAAATTGTCGATAACATAAGTTATTTTTAATTATTTTATCAAAATAATGAAAGATAGCTAAATTCTTAATAATATAAAATTTTAATTTATTCTCATTAAATGTAATATATTAAAAATATTTTCTTGTAACATCTATTTTTCTTTAAAAATTATTGATAGTGTTTCTAAATTAATTATTGATATATCTTTTAAAGAAGTTGAGTTATAAAGAACATCATTAATTTATATATATATATATATATATAGAGGATGATTTGTAGATATCACCGGATGGATTTCACCCTAACATATGGTCCTATTTGGTTCTGAGAAAAGAATAAAATCAGGTGAATTGAACAAATAAAAATAAAAATAATATGATCATAATGTCGAAGGATTGATGAACTATATTTGTAAAGAATAAGAGTAATTTTAATTCATATATTTGAATATCATAATTCATGAATTTATTTTTAAAATATGATGATATAATATTAAACTTTATTTTACTTAAAAATGATAATTTAGTTTGTTTTTTTAATTCATTCAATTCTATCCGTAATAAAAGGAACCAAAGTTAGTGGGGAGGGGGAAAAACTGAGAGATCCGCTATTCATTTATTCATTTACCGTGCTGATAAAAAAGGGGAAGATGGCGGTAACAGTGGAAAGTTAGAAACGGTGCGTCGGTGATTTTCAGAGTTTGCATTCCAAGAAACTGGAAGTTCGAATTGACTGAAAAAGCTGCTCCTGCATCCGAATAAATTATGAAAATAATAATTAATTTGTTCTACAACTTTATCCAAATAATTTAAAAAAAATTAAATTTAAATATAAATTAATTCCATCTTTTAATATTAAAATTTTATTATTATTCTCACATTAAAAAAATTTAAGTCCGTTAATTATCAATAAATTTTATTATTTTTTAATATTTTTTATTGAATTAACAATTATTTTGTACATCAATTTCTTTTTAAATACCTTCAACTCAAATATTTATAATATAAAAATTTAAAAATATAATTTGAATCTCACTAATATTAAGAAAATGACAAGTTAATAAAAGAAAAAAAATTTAAAGTTAAAAAATAAAATTAATTTATAATTAAATTTAAAATTTTCAGTAATCTTTTAAATAAAATTAAAGATAACAATAACCATTAATTTTAAATTGTGAACAAATTTGTAAAAAAGTGCAAATAAGAATAATATTATGTGAAAACTGAAAAAGATCAACATTTGAAAAGGCACAAGTTCTTCAATATAATTAGAACGAAATATAATGAGATCTCTTTTATTTCACTAAAATTATAAAAAAAAATTATTTTTAAAACTTACACTTTACTTTAATTTTAGACAATACTTCCTAATTACGTCCTAATTATATAACAAAATTAATAAGTTTTATTTCTTTCAGTGAATGATAATTAATATTCTTAAATTTACAAAAAATGATTAATTTTTAAATTTTATTTTTCACTAAAATTATTAACACAATAAAGCGCGTGTAATGATTATTATATTTTTATTCTATATTCGGGGTCAAATAAGGTTTAAAAGCTCTTCTCTGTAATTAGAAATGGAGGGAGTATATTTGCAATGGTATTTAATATTTTTTTTAACAATTTGCTTGTATCCAAATTGTGAATTTGGAGACCCAAACTCAACTCAACTTAATCAGCTTTCAAATAATTAAAAATGAATATTCATAAAACCCTAGTCACTAAATCAAAATTAGGTCTGAGCCATTATTTCTACACTTCACCCATAATACTTGAATTATGAAAGTGGGAAAAGTGGCCATGATAAAGAAAATACTTCCTAAATTCAAAGAAAATGGCAATCATAAGGTTTGGATACCAAGCCAAAATCATTTATAAATAGAGGAGGGGATTGAACAATCATTATCGACAGACTACCAATCAACATTTTAACTCCTGGTCTGCTACTTTTTTTTCATTTATCTTATAATTTTAGTCTTTTCTTTTTTGTTGTACAGCTGGTATAGCCCGCCGCATCTTTCTTTAATTAACTAGCATCTCTTCTCCCATGTGTTGCACGGGAGCAAAAACTTGTTGCTTCCTCATCATTGGTAACATAACTACCTTCATATGCAAATATGTTCACCATCTCTTATCAACCAATGATAATTTTATAAATTAATTAAATAAAAGTAAGGTTGATCACAATGTATGAAAATCAATCACATATATCAAGAATTAATTTTCTACATTTACATTAATTTTCCTCACTTTGCATTCTAGCATTCGAATGAACTGTGATAAAGGAGTCTGAGTCTCCCGCATTTGATTAAAAGTCAGATTCTTCCATCCTTTTGAAATCTCACATCTCTAACATGCCTCACGACACACCTTTTATTTTTTACAGAATAATTTTTGGCATGCCCACTAGAACATGCATGAATGGAATGCCTAGGACACATAAGGATCAATATGTTGTTGGAAAGAACAGACTTGAGTCTTACAACTCAGAGAATGTGGTTGCGTATGCAAAATGTGAAGTACAGGCCTCTCACATTCTAGTGACCGTAGGGCGACAAGCAACGCCTCCTTAAGGAATGTCTTAACCACTAGCTCATGATGAGAGTCTCAAATCTTCTTACTTAGGCAAACCTTTGATTATTATGTCTAATGATATTGTAGCTTTGTCATTAACCATGATACATGACTATATCAATAAGCAAGCAACAACCTCACAAGCACTAGTAAGGAAACTCGAGAGATAATATATGAAAAAGCAACAGGAATGAGCTAGGGCTTAGGAGAAGTTGGAATGCTAAGCTAAGGAGAGACAAAAAGCTCTATTGCAAACTCTGAAGAACAAGCTAAGGAACATTTCTGCTATGTTGTCTAAACAATTGCAAGAGCAAGCTCCAATTGGCTCTTGTATCCAGAGATGGACTCAATGGTAGTCACCCAATGTGCCTTTTAACTAGAAGATGAACAATGAGGGTCGCTATAACATCCATCAAAGAAGAAATGGTGGGTCTAACTCAATAGCAGACTCGTTTGGCCACCAAAAAGGACAAAGGACAAGATGCTGCGAGAAAGAAGGATAGCACTACCAAGACACCTTTCATGAAGCTCTTCAAAAGTGGCATCACTCAACCAATGCTCTTAACAAGTCTCTCTAAGAAATACGAAGAGATCTCAAGGCTCACATTGGGCCTATAAGTCAAGTCACCATTGGAAAGCTCAGGAGGCAATTTGTACAAGCTTACCAAGAGGATTCCATCTCCAAGGTATCTCCTTTAACTAATTTTTAGGCCAATGAGAAGTAGACAACTTTGCTTAGAATATGGCAAAAAACTTGAAAGGCAATGGAAGACGTAGGGAGCAACATCTAAAGGCTCCAAAAAAGAGATAAGCAAAGTCTCAAGCTAACAGTTTCTACAGCCTTGATACCTGGATTGTTAATTTTTGAAACCATGAGACCTGGCTTGTCATATTTATTAAGTCCTGGGATGTTATTTTTGGCATCCCTAATACCTGAGCTACCATTTCCTATGGGCCCTGAACTATCAAACTCGAACAACTTTGATATAAAGGGGTCATATTTTGAGAAACTGGATACTAAGTCACTATTCTACAAGGGTCATATTCACAGATACCGAATCCTAAGCTACTAATCCTAAAAAAATTGACCCTACAGGGGCTAACTTCATAAGGGCTAAAGCCACATGGGCTAGCTTTATAAGGGCCATCACCATAACGGCTAGAGCCATAAGGGCTTGCTCTTTAAGGGCCAACACCATAAGGGTAGGAAGCACAGGAGGCAAAGTCGAAAAGGCGAGCTCTGCAAGGGCCCCTCCACAGAAGCTCTCTCAATAGCAGTAAAAGTCACAAGTTTAAGCCCCACAAAAACTAGATTTTGCAAAATCAACCCTTGAGGTCCTAAATCTTGAAGGACCAATTCCAAAACTAACTTTTAAGGTCCTAAACTTTGAAAAACTTGATCCTGAGCTAGACTATATGACCCTTAATCCTCAACCACAAGAGTGTCTTCCAAGGAAAGTACCAAATCAACATCAATCAGAATAGGGAACAAGTCCGTCCTTCAAGACATACTACTCGGGCAATACTTGAAAGGGGGGCCAATGAAAATATCTATGCATATTTGACCTACAAAGGCTTTGGTCAATTTGTATGCTGGAGGCATTATTTGCATCTAAATTGTGAATTTGAAGGCCTTGACTCAACTCAACTTAATCAACCTTAAAATAATTAAAAATGAATATTTATTAAATCTTAACTACTAAGTCAGTACTAAGTCTAGGTCATTATCTAGACACTTCACCTATGATGCTTGAATTATGGAAATGGAGAAGTAGTCATGACAGAGGAAATGCTTTATAAATTTAAGAAAAGTAGTAATTATAGAGCTTAGACACTAAGACTATCATTTATAAGTAAAGGTGGGGATCAAACAACCATCATCGTCAATAAACTACCAGTCAAATTCTCATACTCCTTGTTTGCTACTTTAGTTTCCCCTTTATTGTGTGGTTATAGTCTTTACTTATATGTTGTACGGCCGTCATAGCCTGCTATTTCTTTCTTTAATTAATGTATATATATTTTCCTGCATTTACATTAATTTTCTTTACTTTCACATTCCAGCATCAGGGTGAACTGTGATAAGGGAGCTCGAGTTTTCGCATTTGATTAATAGTCGTGTTCTTTCATTATTTTGAGACCTCACATTTCTAACAAGCCTCGTGACACCCCTTTTGTTTTTTACCTAACATAATCTTTATGTATTTTTTAAAAAATCTTCAAATAATTTCAACATAGGTAGAGTATTATTAAAACATTTTTATAAATTGAATTTTTCTTCACCCCTTTTGTTTTTTACCTAACACAATTTTTATGTATTTTTTTAAAAATCTTCAAATAATTTCAACATGAAGAATATTATTAAAACATTTTTATAAATTGAATTTTTCTTAGTTGTTTAGATATAGTTTTGAAGTGTAGGAGAGAGGAAGACAAGAGAATACTTTGGTCCATTTGGTTGCTATAAAAGATAGGAATAAAATGAATTAAAAAATTAAAAAAAATAAATTAAATCATCATTTTCACTCATGATAAATATGATAAAACTCAATATTATACACTATAAATGTGAGAACAACACCTTCAAAAAATATGATGTTTCATAATTTCCAAACCTGTGAATTAAAATTATCCTTCTCCCTTATGAACATGATTTACTCATCCCTCTTCACATTTTAATTATTTTATTTTTATTTTTATTTTTTTAACTTATTTTATTTCACTCTTTTTTAGGAACTAGGCGGGACTTTCCTCACTTGCATTGATTTTCTAGGCATCGAGAAATGGGCCAGTGGCCTGAAGAATAAAAAGCCCAGAGGGGACCTCGGCCCCATCACACGACAGGATTCCATTATACTCCTGCAAGTGCTGGTCCATGCTCTGTAGTGACTGCTTCTATCAAAGTTTTAGTGCTTGTTTGGATCGGCTCAATGGTCAATTATCCCATTCAAAACCATGGTTTTCACCAAAAATACCCACTCATTTTTTAAAGAAATCGATTTTGGTCTAAAATCTCCGTTCTAGCATAATCTAATATGAGATGCTTTCAATTTTCAATCCTAAGCGTTGAGCCATTATTATTTTGCCAGAATTATGAATGATCAAACATATCCCTGGTGGCACTGTGTGCTTGTGAACTATTAAACTAAACCCTTCTTACTTCACCGAAAAAAGGTTCCTCACAGAGAACAAAGAAGTGCCGTTTTGAACTCAAGGCTTGTATAATTAGCTGCTTTTGATTATTCATGCCCTGCGTACTTCCATTATTCTGGAAGCTTGATTTTTACAGTGAACATCTCATCCTATATAAGGTATCGTCACATGCCAAACATAAAACTTTATCAATAATTTAATTTTAAAAAATAATATCTTTTATAATAATTTATACAGTTAAAATTAATTTTAATTAAATCATCCAAACATTTTTAATTTTATTAAAATTAATTTTAAAAAAATAATATCCAAACAGATTATGTTATAATATAATCAATTATTATCAAAATCAATCATATTAATTAATTATTTTTATAATTAATTATACCCAACTGAAATCCAAACGAACCCTTAGAGTGTTAACTCATGATTCCATTATAGGTGTTTTGTTTTAAAATTTGGGCAACTATAATTCAAGGACCACTAAGAAGATTTAATATTAAATAAAAAACAAAAAATTTTGAAATATTACTGAAAGGCTGTGAAACTGATTTGAAAAAAATTTTAAACAGGAAAAGACTATAATATCACTATTTTTTTCTTTTTAATTAACAAATATTCATTTATTAATTAATACGTAGTCATTCACATTTAATAATAAATTATTCATTAATTGATAAGTTCATAAATATGAAAGAATTTGGTTGTAGAAAGAGACAAGTATAAATTATGTTTCAACAGACAGTCATTCATTAATTAATAAATATCAATTTGCATTAACAATAAACTATTTGTTAATCAACAAGTTTAATAATGTGAAAGAGTTTGGTTGTAGGAAGGAAATAGTGTTGAACTGTTAATCATGTTTCAACAAATAAGTAGTTTATTAATTAATAAGTATACATTTATATTTAACAAAATACTATTCATTAACTAACAAATTCAAGAACTTGAAAGAGTTTGATTGTGTAAAGGAACAACTGTAAATCATATTTTAATAAGTAGTCGTTAATTAATTAATAAATATTCATTCACACTCAACAAAATGTCATTTGCTAATTGATAGGCTTTAAAAAAAAAAGCAAAAGCATTATAATCTTTTTTTTATAAAAATATTTTTAAATCAGTCTCTCGATCTTACAGTATTATTTCAATATGTTTTTATCCTTATTTGATATTAAATTTTTTTAGCAATCATTGAATGATATTTTCCCTCCAAATTTTATGCTACATATCCACGAAAAGAAAAGATAACCAATGCGTGAAAATGGGAACTCAACGCAGGGATTTTTTTTTTTTTTTAAGACACGAACACATGGACTATTTTATTTCTCAATCTAGTTTCAAACACCGCTGTTTTTAATATCTGGACCCGAGTCACAAGCTCTACCATTGGTATTTAAAGGTTTAATTCCCTCGATTTATTTGTTCAGATATGTAATATTTTGATTTAATTCCTTAAATATGTTTTGAATTTAAATGATATTTCTATTTAACATATATAGGATATAAATACGAGCCAAATTTCATTCAGAAATTGTTTTTAAAATTTTATTTTATATCAGAGAAGTTTGTACACTCAAGTTAAACATTTTATTTTTGGAAAAATAATTTACATGTTCTTATAATCTGTCTCAATTTTGAATTATAATTTATTTTGTTTTAATCCTTTACTATTTGTTAATTTAATTTATTAGATTTTTTAATCACCTAAGATTAAAATTCTTGATTATTCTTATAAAAAATTATTGATTATTTAAAATAAATAAAATAAAATAATTTTATATTTTCATAAAAAATATTATATAACTTTAAAATAAATTACATAATTTTTTAGGAGCTCAATAAAAAAATAAAAACTATTTGATGCCTATTATAATTTATATAATTAAGTTATGGCTTTTAAATAATTTGTATACAAATAAAATTTTCATAAAAATTAATAAACGTATTCAAAAAAAATTATTTTTCATCAAAAGTAATAAATCAAAATTTTGAAAGTTGTATGTTTTAGAAAAATTAATTATTCATTAACAATTTTAACATTCATGGATTAACTCATTAACATATCAAATGGATCAAATCATAAAGGCTTGATTTAAATAAAAATAAACTATAGGGACTTAATTCAAAATTTAAGAAAGCTATGAAGAATTGGGGATTAACTTTTTTTTCTTTATTTTTTGGGCAAACATGTTATTTTTAAATACGGAAACAATCGTCCATTTCCAGTTTGACATGAATTATGAACAATTTTTTTAATGTATTAGATTTGAATATGGAATATTTATCATATAAACTTTATTATTTAGCATTTTTTTCTAAAAGTATCAATATTATTTTTACTAATGTCATGTTTTATTATATTTATGAAATTATATTTTAAAATGAAAAAGAAATTTTTATGAATATGAAGTAATTAATGTGGCCGAGACCGGATCTTATTCCAGGCAGATGGATTCAGTGAAAACTTGAGGTATAGTAAAAGAGCAAGAGACAAAAATTGGATCACAAGAGGCATTGCCGATTGGAGCACAAACTAACAAAAATTAGCTACTCCAAAGAGGCCCTCTTTATGCACGCTTTGAGGGTACTCGTGATGGTTGCGAATGAGGGTCTCGTGGTCGGATTTCCATCCCAACATAGTCTGATCAATCGCACCAGCTCCTCCACTTCCCCTTCCCTGTCCTCCGCAGCCCTAGGCCTCAGCTTCCCCTCCACTACCTCCACCGCAATCTATTCACCATGCCAAGACCACATCATTACTATGCTCAAACCAGTAACCACCCACATTAATCATTTGATGAACAAAATATACCTTGGTAGGACTGTAGTCTGTCTCGATATAAGGGTGATTTCCTGTTACAAGCTCGTTCAGTATGATCCCAAAACTGTATATGTCACACTTTTCATTATAAGGCTCGCATCGGATCAACTCCGGTGCCATGTACACGTACGTTCCTGAACAAAACGAACCAGTGAGAACAAAATATTCAGGCCAACAAATCATCGTTTAAGAGCATATGTAGGGCGCGCCTGTTTCGCCGGTGAGGGCCATTTCGTGGTCGCTCAAGAAGCGGGCATGACCGAAATCGGCAATTCTGACGTGGAGGTCGTCGTCCAAGAAAATGTTGCTGGGTTTGAGGTCACGGTGGATGACCTTGGGATTCTGTTCGTGGAGGTACTGCATGGCCTGGGCGATCTCCAGAGCCCTCGTCACTCGGTCTTTCAGGGAAGGAAGTGGGATTTGCCTGTCCCTGCGTCTTTTGCCGGGGCCGTGAAGCCAGTCTTTGAGGGTCGTACTCACACGCTCGGTGACCAACCAGGCATGGTGGGGAGGGTCCAGGCACGCCCCCATCAGCTGAAGCACAAACCGGTGCCTCTGCCTTGACAGAGTCTCTACCTCTTGAGCAAAAAATATGACGCCGTTGCCGTTTGTTCTGAAAAAGTCCGTAGTCATGCACTTCACCGCTACATCACATCCTCGCCAAGTTGCACTATATATCTCCGCCGTGGTTCCCTGGCCAATCTTCTCCTCCAGCTGAATCTGCACTAGTGCACAATGCAGTTGGAGAATCCCGCTAGTCATTGTAAATAATGGAGTAGAAGTTTTTTGTCTTAAGTACGGACCTCGAGCGGGTCAATGTACCACCCGTGAATCTTGGCATGATCGATGATGGCTGCAAGATCCGGGTGGTGCTGACGGCGGTGGATGGGAGAGCGAATCTGAGGACTAGCGGTGGAGTTGACAGAATGAACTGATAAAGGGGATTGTTGGAGTTCGCCTTTGGAGTGGGTAATGAGATCCAATATGCCATTCTCCTGTGCTATCTCGAGGCAATATCTTAGATAGTCTTGCGTTCTTTCCATCCTTTTCCTATATAAGACTCGCAGTTCTTTCTGTCTCTGCACTTCTTTCTCCAAATCTATCACCTGCAAAACCACACAAAACTTGATAATAATCAGTGTCCTTCCCCTGCACTTCCTAGATCAATAAACATTAATGGAAGTCGTTACCCATTTCTGGAACAAGACCGCCACGGACAAGAAGGCCACTAGCCCCTTTGCCCAGCGACTTCATATCGGCCCAATTCTTACTTATCCATCCCAAAACGTGCCTCCTCATGAACCAAGAGTGAAACTTTGAGGCATTTTTGGGCGCCATAGTCAGTTGTCTATGTAACATTCTCTCGTTTTGTTTTGCGAGACACGTTTTACATCTGGAATTTGGTTTAATATTGAGAAGGATTCGTGAGAGGGATGGGAGATTGGGAGCACAGTACCTTTCCTTCCAATCTCTCAGAATGCTGGAGCTGCTGCTGGTATTGCAAAATTGACAAAGTTGGTCCCGATGTCTTGACATTACCAAAACCTCGGCAGCATCGGCTAGGAACAGGGCTTGGTGCCTCCACTTGTTGCTTCCGCTTGCTGTCCGATTTGGATGATTGCCGAGATAGGCGCGGGGAATTTAAACTCTGCAGAATTTCAGGGCTGTCTCTGAAATTCGGGTTCATTTTCTCACCACCCCACCCGATGCTAATTGCTGCCTTCAATCTTCAATCTTGTATATATAGGATGATGCAACTATTGAGTTGATGAGAGGGTGTCCTCAATAAGAATAAGAGGGTCCTTATAAACTTGTTCCCTCTGGTTCCTGATAGCAGACGACAAAAATGGGACGGACTTCATGATGAACAATTCGTTTTGTTATTACTGGTCGATGACCGTATTTAGGTTGTCTTTTAACTGGTTTCGCTTCGAGTGACCGGCCACCCCATTCAGATATAATCCAGCAGGAAAATGGCAAGCGGGACGGAGTTTACTACCAAAATACTATCTTCGTCAAGTTCTCCTAAACGTAGTCAATATTCTATCATACACGTACATAGTTATCCGAATTGTTTTGTCCCCTTCCTCCACTCAAGGCTTGTTGGATTATCCAGTAACTTACTTCCTATAATGTCCTCCCGAAAGATAGGGATAATATTAAAATCTTGAATGGTCTGATGCAAATCTATTTTTCTGAATTTTACATCATTATTATATATTTATTTGAAATACTCGCGGTTGGCAACTTATGTTTATGGGTATAATTTTCAGAGTGACGCGTTTGGAACCTGGAAATCTAGATTGATGCCGGAACGTTACTTTAAGGTTCATGATTTGAAATGGAAACGAAGAGAGAGAAAGGGAAGGATATTTTCATGTGGCCCAGGGAATAGGTTGATGGGTGCAAATATGATAAGCATCGCCATCCTCAGCCTCTCACGGTCTCGCTTTGGAGGATGAAGGAAAAGCGGTTTACGCTTGTGAGGCAAACTCACCTTGGGATCGCCAGTCCCGATACCTTTGTCTTTTGCTGCCAAAGCGAAAATGAGACTGCACATTGTGGACCATCTCAAACCCAATCTACCTAGCCTGCCTGCTGCCCCTACGTAATCTTCCTAACCCACCCCATTTTTCTTCTCTCTATCTTTAGCTTTTCACGGCCACTATTTAGTAGTATTTGGCTTCAATGCTTCAGATTCTAGAGTTGTGCGTGTGTGTGTTTTAAAAAAAATAATATTTAATTTAGTTCCATTTAATCTTCAGCACTCTACACTTTACAAGGCACTATGGTTAGTTTTTGTGGTGATTAAAGCTATATATTATAATGCATGGGACGTGCTGTTTAGATATTCAGTCGATGACATCCATTTCCTAATGATTAAACAATATAATAACATTTAATTTATAAACTAGGATGAATATTGAGCGAGACCCACAAAATAATGTGTGATTAGGCACAACACAGTTAGGTGGCGTGCAATTTAAAGGAGTCCCACATGCAGCCTCTGAAACAGGGGTTTTTAAAAGGAGGAGAAATTGTTCGCCTCATGATTGCAGGGTTGCTTATCCACCTCATTCGCAGTACGGAATCTCCGACCAACAAACATGACACCAACTGTTCCTAACCAAATTAAGAATTGAACCTCCACACCACGTTCCTGTTTTCAGAGTTTTTCCATACTCACATAATCAACAAAGTACGCAGCTTTTGGGACAAATTCCTCAGCTTAAGACCACAGAGTAAGGGAAACAGTTGCTCACCACTGTTTTTGTTTTATCGAATAAGATATAGATCCGCACTTACAAGGAAGTGATCATGTTATTTCTTTGACTAGGGTGAGAGAAATTCCTCTTTGGAGTGGGTCTTCACCATTTGCCATCACAAAACTACACAAAACCGGTTCATGCTGGCCACGTGGTCTCGAATTCTTAATTACTACTCCACTTTATGGCGACTGCGCCATTATTAGCTCTACACATATAGAATTAGACCTACTCATCGGTCCTTTCCTTCTTCCTTTCTTTTGGGTCACAAGGCATTTCCTTTAAATGCTAGTTTTCGCGTTAATTCCGTTTTTTGGGAAAGTAGACGTGATGAATTTTTTTTGTGCATGGGAAGGTGAGATTACTCAAATCTCAACAGCCCCTCCGTTTTACCTTTGAGAGCTCTTGTTGGGATTGGAGTAGTGGTGGCGCAATCTGCAAGTGACGGTGCTGATCACTTCAATAATGGAAAATGTACCGAGTCTCTGAAACAAAGCGTTCATCTCACTTTCTCTCTTCTCGTGGCCCAACATCTCCACCTTTCCCTTTATTTTACCTTCACATAAATACTCTCCTTCTTGCTTGTTATTACCACCTCGAATCTCATTAAACTCCTTTGTCAGTTATATCAGAATATTTTGTTCACGTTGAGAATTAGCGCATCCCTATTTATTTCTTTTCACCCTCGCCAACTACCCTACTAATAAAATCACCCACTACTGCACTTTTCTCATCTTCGTTCTCCATTTAAAAAAAAAAAAAATCAGCAGATTATCTGACACGCACAATTTTTTTTTTCATATACACATAGATACGTAAAAGTACACGCATGCACGACGCGAGATCTGTCTCGGTTTAAAGCATAAACTGCGTCACCGTCCGCCATCTTCAAGGTTACTTTTGGATCTACCAAATTAAACCATTAATTAGAGTCTAAGCTCTTAAAAAACACTTCAAAAAATGAACAAAATGGTAATATATGCCTCTGGCATGAACATAACTACATTATCAGACCATTATCAATGGCGCGATTAGTACTAACATGGGTAGTCTCGTACACCGGAAGCTCCTCACGGTACCGACCCTTTTCCATAACTGCCAAGTGATCCAGCTCAAAAAGATCCGAACTTGAGTAGCTGGCCGCATCGCCGTCTTCTTCTTCATAGTCACCTGTCCTCAAAGGCAAATCCATCAATGCGAAATCGCTCTTCTTCTGATTCTGAAGGTACTCTTTCAAAAGCTCTCTTCCAGCCTCTTCTACCCTCCTGCTTTTTTCCATGGCCACCAATTTTATCTCTCGTCGTTCTTCCTATAAGCTGGTGGCGACCGTCCGATTTTCCACGCGGTTGGCACCGACACAGGCATCATCACGCTACGGTCTTTCTGTTGGTACAAGAATTTATGGCCGCAAGGTCGGCTATCTTCGTCAACGACAACGCTTACAGGGCAGAAACGAACGCTTCTTTGAACCCCATCTCGTACTCATGTCTGGAAGAAGGCGAAGTTTTACTCAAACAAGATCGCGAGAATGATGATGCAGAGGAACAGCGGAAACGGAGGCTTGCCCTGATTTTGATTTTCTCTCAGCGTTTAGGTCTTCGTAGCCTCCCAGAGAAGGCGTCCTCTTCGATTTTTTTGTATTCCATGAGTAAACAGAGAGTTCAGGAAATTCGTGAGCCTCCCACCGGGAGAAATAGGCTGCTTTACCTTCTTTAGATTGTTGTAGATCTTCAGGGCCCTCGATTTCGACTTGATTAAGCCTTCGTTGCTAGCTGTTGTGCTGGGATTCTGACGATAATCATCAAACGCATGAACTTCCCCGTGCCCATAAAACTGAGTGCTCTGTCTCCCTCTTTCTTGTCGGACGCGCTGGTCCTCACCTGCTTGGGCCTGGGGGGTGCGAAGCACGATGCCCCTGATCTCACTTTGAACATGGGCTCCGTTTCAGATGACGAGAATCCTCCGCAACTAGAATCCGAGGAACTCGAAGTTGAACTGAAGAACAGAGCATCATGGGACTGATCACGATCGTGATCATGATGGCAACGTAATTTCTTTTCCATCTCCGTCGGCTTCGGTCTCCCATGAGTGCCAATTTTTTCGGTCATGTTCTTGTCCATCCACTTCTCCAGCATACAAGCTCTTTGAAGACTCTCCGTCGCCATCTCCTCCTCTCGCATGCATCTGTTACTATGTTTCCCATTGATCCTGGTCTCTTTTTTGACCATCGTTTCTGGACACAGCTTCATTCGGCCACTCTTCCTTTCGCCTTCGTCGATGGAACGGTAAATTTGATCAAGAAGGGAAGAAGAGAAAGATGGGTTTTTAGAATGGCAGGGGAATCTGTCCTGTGTCAGCGACGTCCTCTGAAACCGGACATGTTTGGTGCTAAAAGGGAACGATGAACAAGGGGCAGCTAAGTGGTGGTTTTTACGAGGAAGGAAGAGTTAAGAGCTGGAATGGAAGGGGAAAGAAATGATGAGCATGATTGAAGAAGAGAAGATGACAGAGGGATGATTGTTGGAAAAGGGTAGAAGAAAACGTGGAGGAAGAGGGAGTAATTTGACGAGCGTGGAAGAAGGAAGGGAGGAAGGAAGCAGAGAGGATGAGTGAGAAGGGGAACAGGGGAGAGGGAGGCTTTATAAAGGAGGTCACGCGCGTGCGCGTCATCGCGAGCCAATGCCACTCTAGCATCTAATTGATTACGTGGCGTCAATCTTTGCTTACGTGCTTTTTGATTTCGCCCCCTCTGCTTCCCGAATTCGAATTTGTAGCCGTTGATCCTGTTGAGTTCCGGTGGAGAAAAAAGAAAATTGCTCCCTCTGATCTGAAATATAAACTATTATAAAAAAAATTCACATTTTTTATAAAAATATATATTATTTTTATTTATACTCCTAATTTTAATTATCAGTGCATTCCATAGTGAATGAGAGATACATTTATATGAATATTCATGTTAATAAATACAAGGGGTTAGCTGAGAAAATAATATATGTATTAATTAAGTTGCTTATTTTTAAAATTAAAATTAATTAAACAAATATTTATATTTTGAAATGGAGCAAGTATTTGATCTATTTGAATTTCAGACGCTAAAATTAGACACGAGTAGTGGCGCATTGTGAAGTATCATTTTTTTTTTTAAAAAAAAGATGCATGTATTGTCAGTGTTTTGATTGTAAAAGGGAACTGAATGCGGAACACAAATGAGCAATTATGGATTCTCTCATTTCAATTTCACACGTTGGGGTTGAGGGACTCCAGAACCGGAACGAATGCGAATAATAAATTAAAAATTATTCAATGTGTCGGGGGGCGACTTTCGTGTTCTCTCTGCTCGGTATCCTATGTTTTTCAAAGGATTTTTTTCCATTTACTACAGACGGAGCAGCAGGAAGAAGTATATTATCGTTTGACATGAGATTACGATTGAGCTGGCAAGTTCATAATTGATTATGCGGTTGGGTAACACCGACATTTGGCACAGAAAATGTATATTGAAGAGGGGGGAAAAAAGAAATATACATACATGTTTAACGTTAAAGAACAGCATACACCAAGGAAAAAGATCGGATTTCTTCTTAGCGTCTGCCGAATAAAAGACGGTGCGAGTAAATTATAGGATTTTGTTCTGTGTTCGTAATTGTGTCCTGGGTTATATTGGTCAGGGTCGTGTAAAAGTTATTTAATCCCATTCAATTCAGTTCAACTTGAGGCAACTTAATCTGATTCAATGTAAATAAAAATTGATCTTTTAAAATAAAAAAGATCGGACTCTTTTTTCATGTTGGATCAGATAAAAGACCCAACATCTGAATCCAATCCAATCCTATAAATTTATTTAATAAAATTATAATTAATTTATTAATTATTATAATAATAAGTTAATTTATAATAATAATTAGTAATTTCTTGTGTTTTATACTTTTGATGTTATGAATATTGAATAAAATTTTAGTATTAATCAGCCTCAATTTTCTTCTTTCATTAGTGAACTTTGTTGTTAATTTGGCGTGATAGGCTTTAAATATGTTGAAAAATATTTAATTTGAATCGTAAGTGTTGTAACTGAAATATTTTTTATTATTATTAAAGATTATTATATATTTATATTGTTATTGTGATAAATTTTATATAACTATAAGTAATTTTATTTGTTAATTGAGTTTATTGAGTTAAAATAAATTGCTACCTCTTATAGATAAAAAGATAAACAAAACACAAGGGGGTATCGGACAAGACCCCAATTTCCTAGTTCTATTGGATCAGTTTGATTTTGTTCAATTTTGAGTTACATCAAGATTATATTATATCATGGTTGTTTTACTCAATTCTTTTCATGAAATAGATCAAACTTTTAATTAGGGTAAAGTCCTATAAGGTCAATTCTTTGTACAAACCTAATAATTAATATGGGTGATTAATATGTATATTGAGGTCAATTTTTCTTGAGGTTGGTGTATAATTCAAACATCACTCATTGAACGAGAGAATCCATTACTTGGATGAATTATTGAAGGAAAATAATTAGATACTTAATTTTATACAAATAACAATATAATTTTATAAAATTAAATTAAGACAGTTTCATTTTAATGTATTAATAATCTTAAAATAAGAGTTACAAAAAAAATAATATATAAAAAATTTAAATGTATCGATTTAATTGAAAATGAACATGAGAGAATGTATAAGTTTCTTTATTAGATATATATAGAGAGAGAGAGTCAAGAGCGGGAGGGATGTAAAAGTCCAATCACTTAACACAGTGAACAAGAATGTCCAAGCACGGCAGCATTCGTGGAGATCGAGGGCAGACAAACGGAAGAACGAATGGCGACTTCTGGGAGTACCCACAAAACGGGAGCGGTTTCCTGCTCGTCTCTTGGATGAGCATCGCATCCTCGTTTAAGGGATGAAATCTGAATGATTAAATTTAAAATATAATTTTATTTTAATTTATTAAATAAAAAATTATAAATAATTTTAATAAATTTTTTATTTTTAATTTGATCTAAATTTAATTTAAAGAATCTAATTAAATATTAAAATGTTTATAATTTAACATTTAAAATTTTTTAGATGTACTTTATATAGTTCAAATGTTATGTCTAATTGCTAGATTGTATAAAATTTACATGAATAATAATAATAGTTAATTATAAAAATTTTAATATTAAATTAGACCCTTTAAATTAAATTTAAATTAAATAAAAAATTTATTAAAATTATTTTATATCTTTTTATTTTAATAAATTAAATAAAATAATATTTTTAATCTAACTCTCCAAATTAAAATTTGACAGTCTAGATTTCACTTCTTAGATGTGCATGTGGTATCTATCTAAAAGATGAGCAAGGAAATCGTTTCACCCCACAAAACGGAAACTACTATTTGAACACGTGAGGATGTTCAAGCTAGTTATTATGGAACGCATTCAATTGTTACAATTGTTTACCCGACAATGGGAGCGCCGATTCTAGTGAAAAGGGGCAGCGAGGCAGGTTCATATACTCTGGTATGATGTTTTAAGTTTTAGTTTTTTTTTTTTTTTTTTTTCCTGAAAGGTTTTAAGTCTTGGTTCACTTGCTTACTTGTGAGTATGAAAAAAATTAATTTATAAGTCCTTTTATTTTTTTATTTTCTATTAGGTTCATGTAATTTATTTTATTTTAATTAAATTTTTATAGTTTCATCTATTAAACTTAAAATGAAGAACTTTTATAGTTTCATTACAATATTATATAATTTTATAATTAATTACATATTTTTATAACTCAATATATATAATTAAGTTATGTTTTTTTAATATATATATATATATAGTTTTCATTAAAGAAACATGTAAATATTGTATAAAATTGTTAAATAAAATTTATATGAATTTTAAAAGTGTTTTTGTTTTGGAAAAGTTAATCATTAATTAACAGTTTCAACTTTTAAAAACTAATGTATTTAATCAGAACTTGATTAAAATAGAATAAATTACAAAGATTTAATGCAAAATTAATAAAAATTAGGACTGTAGATTAAGTTTTTCAAAAATATCTTAAAAAAGTCACCTTTATAAAAAAAAAACTGTGAGTCCTTACACTTTACTTTCATTTCCTACACTTTTTTTCGATGTTTTATATTTCTATATTTTTGTTTTTAATGTTTTAAATTTTTTCATGAACAAAGTGTGAGAACCTTGTAGGAATTTAAAATACTAAAAAATAAAATGATAGGAACCTAACACATTAAAAAAAGTACAAAGTCAATAACAAAATATAAAT